TAGAGCTGTTTCCATAATCGATTCAATAACAAAGTTAAACAGGAACGGAGAGAGAGGACAATCCTGACGAACACCACTTTCCATGGTGAACTCGGACGAAAAAGTGTCTAAGCTCGAATTCAGCTTTGGTTGTAAATATAAAGAGATAGCAAAATTGAAATAAACTTCTCGAGCACATCCTTTAGGGAAAGGCAGAGCCAGAGTTCAGATCGGTCGACTGAGTCGAAGGCCGCTTTCAGGTCCAGGAAGACAGAGATGGTGGGTCTACGAAAAGCGTGTCTGTGTTCTAGAATTTGGCTAACGGTTGAAATGTGGTTTATAAAACCTCGACTAGGTTTAAAACCAGCTTGGTTCTCACGTGTGCACTCTTCACGAGCGGCAGACAATTGACGGAATATCTATAATGGCGGCGAGAAGTTTAGAGACAATACTGATTAAACTAATTCCTCTGTGGTTTTCACAGGAGGACCTGTCACCCTCTTTGTAAATCGGTATGACCACCGATTCAAACCATTCAGTTGGAACATGTTCCCTCTCCCACACAGAGTCCAGGAGTTTCGTTAACTCCAAAACCAGGGCTGAGCCTCCGTCCTTAAAAACCGATGGGGACAGCCCGTCGGGGCCGGAAGCTTTATACCTTTTGAGATACCTTATTTCTCTGGTAACCTCCATTTCTATTGGAGGACTGATATCAACTGGCAGTATTTGGACAGTTGAACCGGGGAGGGAGGTCTTGTGCTGACGATGGCCAGCTGAACTGTACCTTAAAATGTTCTGCCCATCAGTCTAGATGGCATTGCTGGATATGAATCAGTGTGCCGTCGAACTCCTTAATTACCTCACTTACGCCTGCTTTCTTCGGACCTGTACTCCTAATTAATTGGAAAAGATTGCGACTATTACCGATGGCCGCAGCCTTCTCCATTTCTCCACACTTCCCTATCCACCACTTCTCGCGGTCATTCCTCAGACTCTTGATGACCTGGCGTCTAAGGGATTTGCGCTCTTTGTCGTATTTTGAATCCGGAGGAATGGCTTTGCGAGCGTCCAGCAGGGCAACATGTCGGAGAGATCCATCGATTTTTACTTGATCGTGTGCCAAAATCAGACGTTATTTTGACTGATATTTGGATCGATTTCTAGATTGCAGTCCAGTGCTCACTGAGTCCTCCGGCTGATGGTTGAGCTGAGAGGCGATCTGATAGTTCCGCTTCCAAGGCCGATTAGCAATTATCGCTGATCTCGTATCGTGGACATCCGTTTTCGGTGGCTTTTCTGCGGTTGTTTACTAGGCGTAGGGGGAATCTCGATCGTAGCAGAACATAGTCCTTGTCCACGAGTGTTGACCAATCGGAGCGTCAGTCTTCGATGGATCCTCTCCAGCGGTGGCTGATGGCGATGTGGTCGATTCGAGTCCAGCGCTGTGAAGAAGTTGGTGGTCTCCATGTAAGGCGGTGCCCGTTTTTGTGCGAGAAGTTCGTGCTTGACGGAAACAGTCCGTGGTCAGCACAAAGTTGAAGTAGGCCATTTCAGTTGTCCGTTCGGTTGGCTGGGATTGTGTACGGTCCGTCAAGAAGCCTATCCGATTGGACCAGGGATCCTACTTGAACATTGAAGTCTCCAGCGACTACCACGATGTCCGTTGACCGAGCACTTTGGAACAGTTGGGAGAGATCCTTGTAGAATTTATCCTTCATTTCAGGGGCACTGCAATCGTTCGGTGCATACACCGATACAACGAATAAGCACTGACGCTTTGATTTGTAGCTGTTGGCCCGTGCTGAGCCGCTGAGACGTACAGCACACAATCGGCTACTTACTGGAATCCAGTCAAGAAGCGAGCGCTCAGCCTTGGCACTCAGCGTAATCCCAACACCAGCAACACCGCGAGCTTCGGATACCGAATCGCTTGATGCACGGAGGGTGAAGCGTGACGTTGCGGTTGGGTTAGGAAAACGCAGGGAAATGATTGAAATAGGGTCTTGTATGCGTGTTTCGGAGACAGAATACATCTAAATTGACATTTTCAAGGGTTCTAGCCAAGGCAGCTTGCTGACCAATCTGATAGTTTGCGGACATAGAACGCGGCTAAGTGAAAAGGAAATGTTTGCTTCAAAAATCCTGTAACTTTTGATTGTTTGGGCTTGCTGGTCAAAGACTGAGTGATATTCGATGGGTGGCGTAAACAGGAGGCGTCTGGGGTTATCCGGGATTGAGAAGAAGAACTATAAATAGACCAGAAAGAGGTTTCTCCAAATGGGTGCCTAAGACTTGAGGGCACTACATACTCCGAGGTTGCCCACACCGACGAAGGGGTTTTTATTTGGGAACCCTAACCGGAGCTTTTAACTCAAAAGGCTGACCCACAAGGCAGTGGGGTGTAAATCCAATGCGGGAGCGTGAAAGAAGCACCCGTGTAGGAGCTTCTAAAGACCTGCTACGCAAGGCCTTTGAATTTGGGTTAGGTGTGTTGTTCGCTGGTGAGTTGGTTATCGGTCCACTTTTCGAGATCGGCTCTTAGTTCCATACAACCAATGAGACAAACGCCGCTGTTTATGGTACCCAATCATATCATTCTATCTCTGATCATGGATTAAGCTGGTCCGGAAATCCTCAATCAGGAACCCAAAACGCGAGGTATAGGACCAGATCCCTTGGTGAAGGTTTTTAGACCTTTTCGGCCCTCCAACTACTGCCGGAGTTGGCAAGCACTACACATTGAGAAGACCTATCCAGTGACTGGTGTGAGATCTACCACAACCGTCTCAATCTTTACTGGTCAA